GCGCAGGAGAGAGCAGAGGCTCTTATCAAAAGCGGCGTCCAAATGATGCGGCAGTCCGTGCGAGGACAGGATGGCGTTCGCATTGCAAAATTCGACGACTGAGGAGCAGGCGTTATCCGATTTCTGACAGCGGAAGGTGAGAAACCGGCAGCTATTCATCGCCGAATGGTGACAGTTTACGGAGAGAAATGTGTCTCTGACAAGTCTGTCAGAAAATGGAGTGCCTGTTTTCGTGCAAGTGTGAGTGTGGCCGTGAGAGTGTGGGTGATGACCCGAGATCAGGCCAGGCAAACACGGTCATCACGAGCGATCTCATCGACAAGGTGGACGACCTAGTGAGAAGTGATCGGCGTGTCACATTGCGAATGTTGGCGGTGAAGGTGGATGTCAGCTATGGAACGTGTGGACAATTGTTCACGACATTTGCGATATCGGAAGGTGTGTGCCGCTTGGGTTTCGAAGCAGCTCACCGACCAGCAAAAGGAACTGCGTATGGGGCTAGCACTGCAACATCTGTTTCGGTATCAGGAAGACCCCGCTTTCAGGGAGCAGATTGTCACAGGCGATGAGACCTGGTGCCATCACTACCAGCCAGAGGCAAAGCGGGACAGCATGTAGTGGAAGCATGCGTCGTCACGTCCCCCTAAAAAGTTCAAAGCCGTGCCGTCAGCAGGCAAGGTGTTGCTCACCGTCTTTTTCGACGTTCAAGGTCCGCTACTTGTGGAATTCCTCGAGCACAGAAAAACCATTAACTCCGATGTGTACTGTGAGACACTTCGAAGCCTACGCAGGTCCATCAAGAACAAAAGACCGGAGCTGCTCACAGAGGGTGGTTTTGCTCCATGATGACGCACGTCCACACGTCTCCAGAATCACACACATGGAACTGGCCAAGTTCAAGTGGGAGAAGTTGGACCATTCGCCCTACAGTCCGGACATGTCGCCCTGCGATTTCCATGTGTTTGGTCCACTGAAGAAACACCTGAAAGGGAAGCGCTTCAACTCAGACGACGTACTCAAGGACGCTGTGAAGGACTGGGTCTCGTCACGGCCACAGGAATTCTGGGAACAAGGAATTCTGCGGCTTGTTCATCATTGGGATCATTGTGCTTAGGCCTATGGTGTATATTTTGAATAAAGTCTACATTTGTACCCACCATGTCATTTCGTACCTTTTCATTTGATCAGCCCTTGTATTATATCAGTAGATATGGTATAGACTGAAGCATAGAAAGGTTCAATATCATTTTAGACAACCATTACGTTTATAAATATTTGATGCCTTCATGCCCTTTTCTTGGAAAGAACTCAATCACTGGACGATACTTAATATTTTTCTTTCCTCAGCAGTTTTTTTTACCAATAGCGGGCCCTCAGCCGACTTCGGCTTGGCCACTTCTAAGGCCAGAATTGATGGTCACTTTATCATGAAGGCACTTGATAGTGGGTCATCTTTGCTTCCTATGAAGAGACAGACAGTTAAAACTATGCTTTCTCCAAGATTTGAACCCGAGCCTTTGGTGTCATAGTCGATTCCCCTAACCACTACACCGTCTGGGCGGCTCTTTTGCCAGTATTATGCTCTCGATATTGCTTTTGAATACAGCAGCATGAATTGTGAAATCTTTCTATTACAATATTTTCGTCTGCAATATTAATTTTTTAATTTAATTCATTTCCAATACATTTTAAATATTTGGCCTACAAGCATACGTTTTTAAATTTTAAAATATTTGAATTTATAGACGAAGCAATTGCATTGTCGTGTGATATTATAGTAGCGTTATAACCAATTTATCACTAAAGAAGGTTATGAAACGTAAATTTATAATACTGTTGCGTGCGTACGGGTTCGTTATGAAATGAATGCACAAGTCCGATGAAAAAAAATGAACAAAAATTTATTATTATCACAACAAAAATGCTTAAATTTTCTCAAATTATCACGCAGTATTACAATATCTCACAGTAGTTTTCTTTTAACTACTCAAATGTCCAATAGAACGTAATTCAAAACAGCTAAAGAACGCTAATCCACGAATTCGCTACAATCAACAACAGTAGTTTTCTAAACAACAACAAACTAAGCAACTACTACAAACTGAGATGTTTTCCTCCTTTTATAAGATTTTAAAATCACGCGCTAGAATTTTCCAGTACTTTCTCGAAATCAAAAAGAGATATTTATTTATTTAATGCACGCGCTCTTGTATTTTCAATTTTCCGGCTTAGCTTTCTTTTAATATTCGTCACGCGCTGCACTGCGCGAGAAATAAAACCAATTAATTTATAATTGAACTAATATTAGCTTTTTAAATACCAAATTCGTAACAATACGTTACGTACTTGCAAGTAGAATTTCTTCTGCTTCAATCTATCTTAAATACGGCTAATTTTAAAAAGTAGTTTTGATTACTTATGGAGTTTTGTAGTTCATATCTAGCGTCTCATGACAGTTTCAGTTCAGCTGAGACCAGATTTGTCAGTGCGGTATTGATACTAGTAGTGATCGAAAGAGCAGTGATGGCCTTTCGGAACATTTTTTCATATGACTTTGACAGCATCTGAGTAAAACCTTCGTCAGTATTTACTGTTGGTACTGCTCTACGAGGAGCGCTCAACAGTATTCTAGTTAAGCACACAAGTACCAGATAAATGTCCAACACTGTTTACTTAATTGTTTTCTATGTAATTCTTATTCAATTCAATGCTCTTAGCGATCTAATTCTAGCAGGAAAAGTAAAAAACAAAGAAGAACTGTTTCGTCACCGTTCTAAAATCATACTCTAACGGCGGCTTTCATATCATTCTTGTGGCTGAAACGTGGACCGCGTTCAGATTTTGAAATAAAACAAAACAATGATAAAAAAACAGAGCCATTTTGAACAATGCTAATGTTCTTCTAAATGCAATGGGTGATTGAAAAACGCAAATTCTTATTTTTGTATAGCAATTTGTCAAATCTGAGATCTGAGCAGGAAAGAATCGTCATGCAAAAGTAATCGATAACCTTTTACTGCACTTGCTATAGCCTTTCTGCTAAAAACGTATTTATGGTCCATTAGAGTTACGTCAGCATATTAATAATTATGCGTTACTGGGGTTAAATTCTGAAAATTATAAAAACGTTTCTTTATTTTAGAACATGAAAGGCTAAGAACTTGGAGATTCAGAGAAATGCACTTTGCTTTTACAGCAAGCTGTTCTCTTTCGTTTCCAAGTAATAGTGTTGAAGACGCAGCTATTCTGCTCTTTTTAGCAGTAAATAGCAGTGTCTTCATCGATGGTTATCATTGTTTGTTTATGTGATTAAGGCAAAGCCCCGAGGGCTATCTGCCTAAGGGGAGGAAAGCCTTCGTGGAGGACTTTCTAAAGAAAACTGGCTCGTATACAAGTTACACATGAGGAATACCACGAAAGCGTCCAGACAGCCAGCCCGTTTGTGAGATTCGGACCTCGGACCGAACTACCAGTGTTCAGCGATTTTACCACTAGGTCGCTGGTGGCCTCGATGGTTGTTATAGAAAAGTAACTCTCGAGAATATTATACGCAACATTCCTTTTTCCATTTCTATTGTTAACATTCTAGGCATAAGTTTATAAATATATCTTTGATATCCCCATCTTTTAATTCAAGATTTGGTCCACTGATCCAATACTTATTCCCATCACAATCTGAGTCACATCCCGGTTTTCTGTCATGTATCATTCTAAATGCAAATTTCTACGGCAATCGCGTCGATAACGTGGTTTTGGATAGAATGTCTTCAAGTGATTTTTTCTGACTTTAATGTGCTGATCTACCTTTTGACAGAGGCATAGAAAGGCTCAGTATCATTTTAGACTGCAACCGTACTTTATAAATATTTGCTGGCGTCATGCTTTTTCTTGGAAAGAACTCAATTACCGGACCATGCTTGGTATTTTCAATATTCATCTATGTTAAAATAATCGCATGTAGAGCAATTCATTTTTCCATATTCCAGGGAAATGATTCTATTGCTCGTTATCCCATTAATATTAAACTATAGTGGAGCTAGAAGCGATAAACGCCATTTGCAAATGTTATAACTTCTTTCTGCTAAAATAACTTAAAAACTGCTCTAAATTTTAGTTTGTTTTCCCATAATGGATAACGGCTACAGCTAATAGTAGGTTCAATACGTAATGATTAACTACAAAGATTAAATTGAAGCTTAATACTGTTTAACTATTAATCTCAAAATTTAACTCAAAAACAAAACTTAACATGAACTTTTTTAACCACGACGTGCAAAAATGCTAAACTACAATGGACATCTTCGTGTCAAAGTTCACAACAACAGACTGCGTCGCTTAGGCTAAGGTCACTGTGAGATTACAGTATCTTTACTCAAATCTTTTATAAACTAAGGTCAACATGGAAACCTAACTTCAATACTAATCACGTTGAGCCAAACCTTAGGAGCTTTTCCATAGCTTTGCAAGCAATTTCCACAGGCTAGGTCGCAGAATCACGGAATAGACTCATATTAATATCAAATCCTACTTTTAATTTACGCCATTCAGTTTGCATAAGCATCTAGCTCGGAAGAATATCCAGACAACCAAAGAGACAAAGGATATAAATTAACATAAAACTAGGTGTTAGTAAAACTTAAATCATATTTGCTACACCGCCACGTAAATGAACTGAAGTAAATAAGTAATTCACTAGTAAATTAAGACATAAATTAAAATAAAATTTGTGTAAAACAGAAACAAGAATAAATTTAACTTTTATGGCTACTAATTTTTTATCTGCTAACAGTTTTGTAATGTATATTTCATACAGAAGCTGCTGAAGTACATTTATACATAATTATTATTTAGCAGATGTACATTGCTTGGGACTTTCCTACTGTTTTCATATCAGCTATGCGTCAAGTATAAAAACTCTAGATAATGAGCGGTTAGCAATTAACTGAACTGCATTTATGTTACATTAATCGTGCTTATAATTTTTTTTTTTTTACTTTCAGAATGGAAAAACAGGCAATTCTGGAAAAGAGCTGCAGATGTCCTTGCTGAACGACCAACGGGACAAATGTCTACGATCCATGCAGAATACCTTCTCTCAAGAAGATAAAGGTCAGTTTAATAAGAAATCTTCCTGTGTAAAATATTACCATTTTATTCTATGACCTTTGGAAAAAAATAGTTTCTCGTATAATTACCAGAAAATGCTCTTTTCTTACAATGAATAACAAGACTAAAAGATTTTCTCTAAAAATTCAAATAATTTTAAAGTTTTAGAAACAATATGAAAATACAATATAGGACAATAGCACTACAGTGACAGCGATAGCATAGAATGTACTGTTTCATTAGTCATAGGTGGCAAAATATATGTTTTGTGAAATAAAGTTTATTATATTAAAAATGCACAATAAAGTTATTAATTTACTAATTGAATATTGCAATTAAATGAATCCATGCAGATGAATTATTTCATATTTATTTATTAAACCGGCAGCATGATAATTAAAAAGGAATTTGTATTTTGTTTCGATTACAATCTAATGCTCAGATGGGAATACTAATTCAGAAGTCAAACAACAAAAATCAGCGTTATATTTTCAAAATTTTCACAGGACTAGTTTCGATGGTTTTACCGAACCACCCTCCTCAGCTGCAAAACCGCAAATGATAACGCTGATTTTTGTTGTTTGACTTCTGAATTAGTATTTGTTCGGCGTGTTATTGTGTCTTAACACAGATGGGACTTTAGTATTAAATAATTCAAAGGAATACCTACTGCTGCCCACTATTAAAACTAATTCCTGACTGTTAAAAACTTATTCGCTAGTATCAGTAACACCAAAGAGGGAAAAATCTAAGTATCAATAGTAATTCTGTATGAGATTTTTCTACTTCCTTACTGCAGGCCTTTGTGGTGTAACTGTAAGCATGTAGATTTAGCATCGAAAGGTCGAAGCTCGATTCCCAGAGATGGTATACTTCTTTTTCACGTGTCTTGTTCAAAATTAAATCTAATGTCTCTGAGATTAAGTAAATAAACATTTTTAGTAAAGTAAGTTCAGAACTGAATAAAATAATTTTTTTTTTATTAAAATAGAGATTAAGTTACAAAAATTGTTGGCAATAACTAAATTCCTTAGGAAATAACATTGCAATCAAACACTTTTTGGCCGCCATTGGTTGAGTAGATAAACCAATGATACTTTGCTCTAGGTTCAAATCACGACCAAACAGACGTACTGGAAAGTGGCTACTCTTCCTCTTTCTATGAATAACATGGTTGGTTTGGTTTGGCTTATTTAATTATGGCAAAGCACACTAGGGCTATCTGCCTAAGGGAAGGGATGCCTTCGTGGAGGACTTTCTAAGGGAAACTGACTCGTATACACGTTACACATGGGGAAAACCACGAAAATGACCATGCAGCCAGCCCGTTCGCAGGATTCGAACCTCGGACCGAACTACTAGTTTTCAGCGACTTTACCGCTCGGGGGCTGGTGGGCCCCTATGAGTAACTTGAATACGAAATAATTTCACTTAGAAATTCCTCGGCGGAGACATCCTTCTTCTTTAAGCATTTAACTCAAGCCTACTTTGTGTTAACAAAGTAACCAAACCAAGTAAAATTTTAGTTAATTATTAATGATTTTAAATTATTTAATACTTAAAGTGAAATAGAAAATTAGTATTTTGCATTCTATTAATTTTCAGCTGCCTTACTAATTAAAAATTAATGCATTAAATTTATACAAGGTATTGAAAAATATATCGTTGGAATGGCTGGAAAGTAATATCATCTTGAAGCAAATAAGTTGATAATTTTTACTCGTGCTATCAGCAATGCATTTAGCATTGCAAAAGAGAAGAGGATAAAGCCTTGCAGTCAAAATCTGCAATTATATATAAAGCTACATTCTTAATACGGTGATTAATATGATATTTAAATCCAGGGGAAAGCATAACTACTTGGGCAGTTTCGTGCTTTTATTTTATGTGTTACATAAATGTGGGCAACATTTTCTTTAGAAACTAGTTCACGAAGGCATCTCTTTCCTAAGGCAGGTAGCCCTTATATGGTTTGCCATATTGAATTAAACAAATATAACAGAAGGATAACCATATACTAATAGTAGATGAAAGAAAATATTCTTCAAAAATGTGCCAATTTAGCTTTAAAGATGACTAAATCATCCGAACTTGTAAAGAAAAAAAAATGGTTAACAAGTAAGGTAGTTAAGGATCAGTGAATAGAAAAAATTTATTTATATTCAAATGCCTGGCTTTTGGCATTCAAGTTCTAGCAAAACTAACCTTTTAGAAAAATGTTTTTCCCTATGTGAACCTGTTTAATTGAGAAATAAAATTATGTATTCAAAGGCTACCTCTGTCCTCAAACTGTCATCCATTTATCTATGCACCTGTTTAATTCGAATCCTCAGATAACCATCTATACCAAAAAAATAATCTTGAGGTTCCTATTTTAAGTTAATAGACTATAATACATTGCCTTTACGGCAAAATCACTTTCCCCAAAGTTAACTTCCTGTGAAGAAAAATGTTTACGTGTAAGTTATATTAAGAAAGTATATGTACTTTAAGTAAACTAAATTTCTGCTGAAAGTAAAAGGTAAAACCAAATAAATATTAATTGAAAGCATTCTTTCAACTTCTTAATAAGTACGTGATACAATTACGTTTTGATTTTTGCTTCGAACAATGGTGACGCGACTCATGTTTCGTGGTAAAGGAAGTAGAGTTTTTTAGTACCTCTCATACAACGCCCTTTTCTTTCTTCATTTGGGTAAAACGTCTTTGCCAAAATCAGATATTTCTTGTTCTTAATTATTCTCAGATATTTCTTTTTCACAATTCGTTTAAGTTAAAGGCGCTTCATCTTGTTCTTCTTTATTTACTTTTTCTATGTCGGTGGTTGTTTTTAGATTATCGAAATATTCATTCATCACTTCTCGATTAATTCTTTGACTTCTTTCATGTCTGAAAATTGTTCGCCCATTAAATTCTCTTGCAATTTGTACGATTTCTTTGACTGAACATAAGGATGATTTGGAGGCCTTAGGCTCGGACATTGAAAGCCTATGTAGTATTGATGACTATTGGTCATGTACAGATTTTTAAATATATTTTCTACTTTTAGAGGTGGTTGCAGCGAGAAGTTTTATCGTAATTATTGTCTAAGTATATGATATATTCAGTAATTGCTCTGAGTAAGAATAGTTCAATTATTAACGTAACACATTTAAAAGAACTTGGCTGCTCTGATTGTTGAAAAACGAGCTTGTTCCTTTCCAATAAATTGCAGCTTTACCTAGGATGTCTCAAAACCAAAGCAGGATTTAAATTTTCTGGTTTGGTTTTAAGACCAATTCCATTTTTTTCATTGGATTGGGGACACTGTCTGAAGCACATGTTGTTACAATCGCAGTAAAGTTAGTAGTGAGTTAGTCGTCATGGGGAAATATGATGCAAAAGAGCATAACTGTTATAGAAGCACATTAACAAACACGGAGAGCAAGCTCAGTTTATCAACTGACAAGGTTTATTCTGTTCCCAACGCTCGAGTTCAAAGATGCCACTTAACTTTTAGAAGTGGGATGAAGATACAAAGGGAATAAGGAGTAGTTATATTTCAGCAGATTATGAACAAGTTACGTCTTGCGCTTAAATATTTTTAATCGAGAAGAGTGTTGTACTGAAACTGCGCGAAAATTACTTGCTATCAGTATCCGATAGTAGAAGCAGTGGTTCAAAAGTTTGAAGAATCAGAATCATTGATAGACAAGAAAAACGTGATGGCTTTTGGTTCGCACTCAAGGCCAAATTAGTATATCTGAGTGTCCGAGAGCATCAATTCGCTGTAGGTCTTTGAGTTAGATATATCGAGGAGAACTATTTAGCAGATTATAGCAAAAGATTTGCGTATGCACTTCTGTAAGATTCATATGGCTCAACAACTTAAGCCGAATGGCCATGTGAAGTGACTAGTATTTGTCTAGTCCCATCTCAGATGTGTGGAAGACATTTGCCGGATATTATTTTCCAAATTTAATCGGAGTGTTACTCATACAAAGTAGGTCACAATTTAACCTATTCATTCATAATGTTATATTCTAAGATCATTTTGTAAATTTAAAACCTGCGTTACTTTTGAGACACCCTATATTTAGACAAACCTTTAATTGTTAAGTGTTTCATTTCCTTTAATAAACTGTATTTCTCTGAAGGGTTTGTTACGGTATAGGTATCCTTCTTATATTTTCTTTCATAAATCAGTCTTTCTTCTGCATGTTTTCATTCTACTATAGCTCAAAAGGTGATTTATTTAAGACTCTTCACAGGATTTATTTCATTGTCCATTTTCACAATACAATTGCAGCTGGAATAAAAATCTAGAAGTTGTTTCATGAATCAGTCTTTTTCGTGGACTTTATAAGTTTCCTAAAATATATATTTAAAAAGCATAATTATTTGATGAATATATTCTATAAAATGAATAATTATATGTAATGAACATATTCTATAAAATCACATACAAATGTTTCTCGACTATTTATCCCCCAGAAGCATATTATTGACTGTATTCGACGAACGACATTATGAAAATCATGTCAGCTGTATGCACAAAATTCATGAATATTTACGGAATACGAAAATATTTTCTGGGGATATTCTGAAGCAAAATAGTGCATTGAAAAGCGAGACTTCACATAATCTGGGAAGACAAGTCCTTTATTCTCTCGACTTAGAATATGTAAAATTCATATAAATATGCGAGGATATTTTAGACACTGGAGCTAATGCGGTCACTCTTTGGATAACATTTCGGAAATCCAACCACGCTAAAGGCGTCAGCTCATGAAAATCAAACTTCGGGCAAAATGGGAAAATTCGAGGTTGCTGCGGATTGAGACATTTGCATATGTTTGTAGGATACTTGTACGGATACAGGGAAGTCCTTTGCATAAAATATTGAATATAGTATTACAAGCAAGCCAATATTTGTGGGGTAAAGTGGGGCTTTGCCGGAGAACGGCGTAATCTGAAGGCGGAATGATTCAGATCCGCGCTTGGAAACTGCAAGCGTCGTTGTG